GCCCCTTTGTTGTTTGCTAGAGTACCATGGAGAGATAGTTCTTCGTCGCGTTGTTACATTTTCAGCGACTACAGTTTCTTTCTGACAATTAGCATCTAGGCCCCTCCATGGTTTAACCTGCTCCGCTCTTGAGCAGCCAAACCGTCGAGCACCCTGCCTTAGGCTGATGTCAGACTTTGCGAATCCACTGATTCACTAGCGAAATTGTGGGAGACGAGCGTTGCACCAGCGAATCGAGCTGTGTACCAGCGACTCGACACTGTTTGAAAGTGGCGGACTTAGGAAGAACGCCTCTAATCTCAATTTCAAAGGATATCTAAGCGCTGAAATTGCAAACTCACTATTGATTAATCTGCAGTGAAACACGTACACGTCATCGTTTCTTGACTCGAGAACTCTTGCTGAAATATAATTCTGACTGAAGTGAGGGATGCCTCCTGTGGGGGTTTCATGACTGGGTACATTTCGACATTTTCTATCGCTCGATTCAGGATAAGGAAAGATAAGGCAAGTACCGTGGTAAACTTTGTGCTTCTCTTTCAAAAGGCCACTTAGAGGACTTGTGACCCAACGGTTAGGGAATACTGGACACGACCACGGACGAAGGCCGGAGGAATATAAAGGTGGAATGCAGACATCGTTCATAATGCCAGTTGAAGGACAAGGCCAGGATCATTTTCGTGTGATAATCCCAGTGGAGTACGGGAAATACTGTAAAAAAAAACACAAATAAGACGAACCTTCTCGCTCAACGCTGCGGAGAAGGCCAATGGTAAGACGCAGAGGTCGATTAATCAGCTGACGTGAGTCGTGGAGAGGGTGAAGGAACTTAGGATTGGGAGAACCCAGCTGATTAACCGATAAGACACAGGGAAGATTCTATGGTGGTGCAAGCATTGGTGGATTGAAAACGTAACCGCTAGGGGCCTTAGTAAGGTGTTTAGAGGTGCTAAAAGGAGGATGCGACCTCTACAACTGCGAGCCTACCACCTCCACCCCAGGGAGTGAGAATGAACGCGACTTTTGCCTGTAAGATGAAGTGGGTACCCGACAGGAGGCCCGTCGCGCGGCAAGAAGGCAGAGTCAGCGGACGAGTCGCAGCGCGTGATGTGCGATGTAGGACGTACAATGGTACATTCTATTTAACTTGAAATCACTACAGTACGCGCTGCGACTCGTCCGCTGACTCTGCCTTCTTGCCGCGCGACGGGCCTCCTGTCGGGTACCCAAGCAGTGAGTGTAGTTTCGAGAGCCCCTCGCTCTTGCCACATTCCTTAGGGCCTTATAGAAAATGCAACTTTTACGAATATGGATCATTTCGCCCTTCACGCAAAAGCTTTTTCAGATAGTTAGATGGTCGTGGAATACACCTTTCAGAAACGCTTCTGTAACACCACCAACACTATCACGTAAACGATCGCCTGTGATATTTCAGGGCGCCTATCACCGTAGTTGCACTCAGAGTCAACCCTGCGTTGCGCAGTTCGCAACGGCACGTTGAGAGATCCTCAACGCACGCTGTATGGGCGGAGACACAGACGGCTCGAGCATGCGAGTGTGAATGTTCGCGCGAGAGAACGTGTCTAATCGGGCGAAACTGCGCAACGTGGCCGTTGAGAACTGCGCAACGCATTGCAACCCCCCCCCCAAAAAAAAAACACATCACAACAAACATACAATCACTCCTTTCCTTGTGTCTTCTTCTTTCTCCTGAGCCGTATTTCTTCTTTGCTTGTTGCATGGATGTCTCCTCGCTCTTCAAAATTACACTTGCTACTTATATATGAGAGCTTGACCCATTTTGAAAATTCATCTTCTAAAGAAGGATGACTCACAGCCGATTTCTGCTTCTCTCGTTTCTTGGAGGTGATTCCGATCCAGTCGAGTGGCTTGTTGAAGTCTACCCTGGCTTCTTTGGCTATAGCTGCTAGAGAATTCGAGTATCTGCAAAAAACTGCGTTGTAAAAGGCTTCGGCCTGTTGACCTCGATGGTATGATTTGAAGAATCGAACAAATGAGTATGAGTAGCACTGACACGTAATCTGGTTCATCAGCGTACTTCAGCCCATCGATATACTGAACAATTCGCTTGAAATCTTCTGGAACTATCGAGTAGCAGGAACTTACTGCAAGCTCATACATTGCCAAGACCGTACCGCTTCCGAAATTCCAGATTCAATTATTCTTACGCACTTTCAAGTTTGAAAAACTTCTGCTTCATGGTCAGGATCTCATCACGCTCGCACCTCTTCCATGGCAAACCCTTGTCGTCGTCAAATAAGTCGAAGCACTGAAAGTTGCTTGTTAAAATGGTCGCCGTGTAAAGGATAGCAAGACGGTCAACATCGATCCTTCACTACACACTGTGAACTGATTTTATATGAATACGATTATATGAGTACCGCATCCTCCCTTTCAAAAACGGAAAGAGTGTCAGGGTGCAGACCATACACCACAAGTTACGACGGCCTCCAAATAAGTCTGGTTGGTAGTGCTTTAATGTGATAGCTGACATTGCAAGATTGATTGCTAAAACTTGTGGTGACACCTGATAGAATACAACTGCAACAGGCTAATCATTTCATCGGCAAAAAACATTTACATTTTGTGAAGGTCGTCGTCACTTGTGGTGTACGGTCTGCACCCGACGCTCTTCGTTCTTTTAAAGGGAGCGTGAAAGGACCAAGCATTTTGCTTTGATCAATCGAATTTTGGTATGCGCGTTCAATTCGGTATGGTAGAGTCATATAATGCGGCCGATACGAGTCATTGTTTTTCTCATTTCAGGGTTTCCTACAGTCGGGCCCTGTTCAGGGTAGAATGCATGACGCTCTGGGTGGGTGGAATTTGGCATAGTTTGAACCTGAATAATGAAGCCATGTGCCTACCCACCGTGCCCTCTACACAACCACCGCCACTGCATGATTTTCGACTTTAAAGGGACGACTTGAGGTCGATGATGTGTTGTTTTGTTCGGAAAATATGCAAGGAGCAAAATGACAAACATTAGGGGAGAAAAAGCAAAAAGCACCATAGAAAACACTAAATTTCCCTTTGGAGGCCGGCCGTGGTATGACGGAGAGACACAGCGCTGCGAGGAGAGGGAAAACGCGAGATAGTAGGTCGTTTGTCAGCACTACAGCACACATGGCACCGTCGCCTCGCACTTTTGAATGTTGCACCTACTGCGCTTGGAGACCCCCCTTCTTACTGTAGGGGGACTGGCTCAGGTTGTCTATGTAGTGCCATGGCGTGAGGTACCTTAAAGCAACTGTCGCTACCGTTACATAGTTGATAACGATCATGCTAGGCCTCATGTTCATCAGAGTGAACAAGGTCCCCGCTAACAAGGGAGGTCGTTCAGGGTGTGCCAAGCTTTTTCAAAACGGTCTTTTGCATGATATAGGGGCACATGCGGGAACCACAGAACCATGGTTAATTTTTCCTGAACGGCCCTCTGAATACCAGAAAAGGGGGTCCCTAGTCACACCTTTTTCACCAGTTTTTCAATCAAAGTCTATTTGTAAGGGTTACTGACGGTCCTAATCATGAATATGGTACTAATTATTCATGCTAACTCCATTTTGCGCGAATTTTGAAACGTCAACTCGAAATGCAAAAATTTGTCACCACGAGGAATCGAACTAGGGACCCCTTTTCTGGTATTCAGAGGGCCGTTCAGGAAAAATGAACCATGCTTCTGTGGTCCCCATATGTGCCCCAATATCATGCAAGAAACCATTTTGAAAAAGCTTGGCACACCCTGAACGACCTCCCTTGTAAGAAGCAAGGAACTCGCAAGGTCCATTAGCCCAGCCTTCTACATTAACACCTTTAGGCAGTACAAAAAGGGATTCTCTGCGACACCATTTTCTACTTAAGACAACCGTTATTTCCGTAAAGGATTAATATTGAAACGGTATTTTATGTAATGCTTAGCTGTACATAATATTTCCTCATTTAAGGAACTTGAATTAACATTTGCGCCTCAGATATCATGAACTTCTAAACTACCATATACAGCCAGCATTCCAAATCGTCTTTGCGTCCTTGCTCAATCTGCTTATGACATGCTCGCGATGCAAATCTCAGAGTTCCGAGGAAATGCACTTTAATCCGTGGTAACCTGAGTGAAAGTTGGACGTTTTCGAGTAGCATTCAAGGCAGAATGCATACTGCGTGAAGAACTCACTTCACTTTCATCGTCTCTCCTTCAGTAAATTTCCTTGCAATACCAAAATCGAGCATATATATTGTTGACTCCTTTGGACCAAGTCCAATAGCATAGTTTTGAGGTTTTATATCGCTGAAATCCAGCAGCATGTCATTAGGCCATGTTCTGTTCCTGCTGATCATCTCCAAATAGTAAAGTAAGCAGATGGGTTGTAAAAGTAGTCTGACTAATTAATAGATTTGAGCACTCATACAACGGCTCTACAAAGGACGCGTGGTAGCCACTGCAAAGGTACAGCTCAGAAAAAGTTCGCCAAAACGGTTCTTGGTGCTCCTCTTTTTCCGATAGAAAAAAAAGGAAGGGGGCCTCGAAAAATTTCCTTGAATATCCTGATTCCTCAAGATTGGAGGATATATAAATAAAAAAATAGTATATCAATAATTGAAGAGCGTTGCCCGAGCGAGAAATAATAATGCACTAAAATCAAACAAAGACCGCGATTGCATGACCGTAGAATAGTTTCCACTGATTGTGCAGAAGTGCAAAATTTTTGACAGGTTGGACACAGGGCATGACATGTGTACGCTCACTTTACGCTCTCGACCACTTGACTGGCGGTGAGGGCAGACCTGACCATGCCAAGCGGTAAAGACCCCTTACCCACCGTGCCGCTCGCCATACAACTATAGATGGATTTTCGAATAATCTCCCTTTCATCTCCGATCAAGTCAGCACTGCAATACATCACAGTATTGTAAGAGCCAGCTGCAAGATGATGTTATATTAGTTAACGTGCCTAATAGCAATATCAAACGGCAGCTCGTTCGAAACAGACTGTATGACAGGCAGTGCGTGACTTCAGACTGTATCATCTGCCCAAATGGCACGTTAGGGGATTGTGGTAAGGTTGGGGTGATTTACCAACTTGAATGTATGGTATGTAATAGCACGTATATTGGAGAAACTGGGAGAGCACTAGGTATCCGTATTCAAGAGCATCTAGCTGGGAAGAGGCGTGGTAATGTAGCTACACCACTTGGCAAGCACAAGATTGAGGAGCACAATGGGAACGACTTTGATGTTAAATGTTCTGTGTTAGCGTACGAGACTGAGATTTCATCCAGAAAAGCATTGGAATCATTCTGGATTTTCGCAAGGAAACCTAGAATGAATGGCCGAAACGAATGTCCGTCGATTACGAATGAGCTCTTGCCTTTTGTCTCAAAGTGCGAGCTATCATTGCGACGTGCAAATTGACAGATTTTGAAATATGGCACACGAGACGAGTAGAGCTCATTCGTTTTACTGACGTCAACTAACACAGGGCGTGAGCTACTGCTCCGCATCGGTGGAATCATCGGTGAGTTAAGTCTTCATCACTGAGTGCTCCGTAGTATTCTCGACGTTCTCTGACGTCGAGAATACTGTAAGCGGTTGATCGAGTAGCTAACGAATCAAAAGCTTCAGACAATCTCCAGGCCTCTGAAGAAGACGAAGCGGTCGAAACGTCAGGCCAGTGAATAAAGATTCCATCTTAAAAACCTCGTTTGGCACATAGTACAAAAATATTATAGCTGGATTATCCAGCCGCAAACAGGTAGCGCTCATTGTGTTATCAGGGCGCTTAAACGGAAAGGAAAGGTCTGGCAGATACACAACGTACGTATAATATTATAAATATTAGTTGTGATGATGGTATAAAACACAATTGGAGCAAATTTTCAGTGGAGTTCTGTTCTTAGAAGGACTCATTGTTGCGAATTGCAGAACAAGAGTATCACATCTGTTGAGCCTTTTCCCAGCAAACAAGTTGATAATCGGGTTTTCAGAATGAAAATAATTTTTATAATCTGCAGAAGTTTGGAGCCTTTCGACACTCTGGCGTGGGCACTAGGGATCTTCGCGTCAACTAAATGTGAAATTCGTGGATAGTCGACAGGAAGTCCATCACGAAGCGAGAATGCAGAGGGGCAGGTGGATCAGCGGATGGGTATTGAATGATGTGGGACGTGTTATGATACATTCTTTCTAACTTGAGGCTAATTTTCTACAATACCCGCCGCCACTAGTCCACTGACAGTCCGCTAACCCTAACAGTCTCTGTCTTCTCGCCTCGCTATGGCCTTTTTGTAGAGTAGCCGAAATTCGTAGCATACAGGCCAAACCACTTCTGCACGTGGAATTCTAGCCAAATTTAATTAGGAAAACAGATTTCAAGGAAAATAGT